CACACACACACATACACACACACGCACACGCACACATACGCACACACACACATACACACACACACACACACTCACACACACACCAAAAAAAACCCCAATTTTTAAGATTAAATTCTAGTGAGCATACAAAATAATGGTTTTCATTATGACATTTCATGCATATGCATCATTGTACAAGATTTGAAATGACATTTTGATTCATTGTATTCTTGGGAAGATCTATATCTATATCATCTATATCTTGTTCATTCAGCCCATCCATTTACTTGTTACCAGGCACTGTTGACACTGGGTTGCAGCAGTAACCGTAACAGACAGAATTCCTTAAAGAGATAAAGACCATTAATGGTGCAATGATATAAATAGTGATTAACTGGAGAGTCCAGTGAGAGGACAGAGTGTCAGGAAGGCTCCTCTGAGGGGTGATATTTCAGTCAAAATTGGGAAGCTGAGAAAGCCAACTTATGGGATGTACTGAAGCAGGAAAGAACAGAAAAGATTATGTCCACAGACTTCTAGGCTAAACAAGTAGCATGGATGATTAGGGATCAATGACCTGTGCCAACCTGGGGAGGGGCACCGAGGTTTTAAGGGAAGTGGCAGTGGGAACAGGACAGGAATGGGTCGGGGAAGGCTTGGAGTTATAATCAATAAGGATTCTCTGTTGTTGGTGGCGGTAGTTGTTTGTTTTGAGATAGGGTCTTGTGTAGCTCAGGCTGGCCTCGACTTACTAGGTAGCCAAGGATGACCTTATTCTCCTGATCCTCCCGCCTTCAACTCCCAGGTGCTGGCATTATGTACCACAGATGCTAGAGACCAAACACAATGCTTCCTGAATGAGCTACATCCTGGCCCCTCGCTAGGTTTTTAGATCAGATACGTACAGGCAAAGCTTAGGGGGGAGGGGATGGTAACTCTGAGGTAGGGACCCCAGTGAAACGGAGAATGGTGGTTGATAAAAAGGAAGTTGGAAAGCAAAGCCACATGTGAGGGAGAGAATGGTCTGGCTTTGGTTATGCTGAATGTGTGCTTCTGATAGCCAGCCTAGAAAGAGCTGGGGCATGTGTCTAACGACAGCGGAGAGGAGGGAACCTTGAGTCTCTGCCTTAGCTGTCTCCCTTCCTGTCTTGTTTTGTTTTCTTCTAGACGAGGTTTCTCTGTGTAGCCCTGCCTGTCCTGGATCTCACTCTGTAGGCCAGGCTGGCCTTGAACTCAGAGATCCGCCTGCCTCTGCCTCCTGAGTGCTAGGATTAAAGGCGTGCAGCACCACTGCCTGGCCTTTCTCTGTCTTCAGAGGTTCTATTCCATAATTCTTCACTTTATAATTCTCCCTGCTGGGAGCTGGGGAACTGGGGGCCCAGCTGTAGTTCTGTTCCCTTGGGCCTGAGTCTCCGATGCTCCCTAGGAGGACAGTTCATAGACTCCAGCTTCTTAGCCTTTTCTGCATGCCAGTAGCCACTAGGGCCTGTGTGTCGTCCTGGCGTTCTTCCTGCTCCCAGCTCCCGCTGATACCTAGGAATGGGGAGGAGCATGTTGGGAAGAAGGTCATTTCTGTCCGAGGGGCACTGACCGACCTTCTGATGGTGTTCCTCAAGGTGAATGTTGGAGACACAGTCGCGATGCTGCCCAAGTCCCGGAGAGCCCTCACCATCCAGGAGATCGCTGCGCTGGCCAGATCCTCCCTGCATGGTACGCACCCCACTTCCGTCCTTCTGCCCGCTTTGTCTTTCCTCATGTCTTGTGGGACTAATTCCTGTGTGACTGATTCCTGTGGGAATTTTCTGGGATTTCTTTTTGCAAATCAATCCTAGCCCAGCAGGCAGTGGTAGCGCAGGCCTTTAATCCCGGCACTCAGGAGGCAGAGGCAGGTGGATCTTGAGGCCAGCCTGACCTACAGAGTGAGTTCCAGGACAGCTAGGGCTACACAAAGAAACCCTGTCTCAAAGAATGAGAAAAAAAAAAAAAAAAAAAGAAAGAAAAAAAGAAAAAAAAAAGGAGAGAGAGACGGCTCAGCAGTTAAGAGCTCTGACTGTTCTTCTAGAGGATCTGGGTTCAATTCCCAGCACTCATATGGCAGCTCACAACTGTCTGTAACTCTAGGGTCCAGTACCCTCACACAGACATACATGCAGGCAAAACACCAATGCACACAAAATAAAAATGAATTATTAAAAAAAACAAACCCCAACCAATCCTAGCCCTTCTTCCTGCCCAAAAGACATGGAGAGACATTCTAACACTCTTCACCTACTTCCCTGCAAGCTATTCTCAGTCCTTCCCCTTAACCCGACTTCTCTTTCCCGCCATGTCCAGGTATTTCCCAGGTGGTGAAGGACCACGTGACTAAGCCCACCGCCATGGCCCAGGGCCGCGTGGCTCACCTCATCGAATGGAAGGGCTGGAGCAAGCCCAGCGACTCACCTGCAGCTTTGGAATCAGCCTTCTCCTCCTATTCAGACCTCAGCGAGGGGGAACAAGAAGCTCGCTTTGCAGCAGGTGGGTAGCCGCTGCCCCCGCCGCCCCCACCGCCCCCCCACCCCCCAGCAAGGGAATTAGCCCCACAGATTTGCCACAGGGCTGCGGTCTCTGAGCTAGCTCACTGGCTCTGGCATGGGGGCTGGAGTTTTCCCACACACCTCTCTCTGCCCAGAGACCTCAGGGACACCTTGGCTTAGTTCAGCCCCTGTGCCAGTGACCGCTGTGTCTCTCTGATAGGAGTGGCCGAGCAGTTTGCTATTGCAGAAGCTAAGCTCCGAGCATGGTCTTCAGTGGACGGGGACGACTCCACTGACGACTCCTATGACGAAGACTTCACTGGGGGAACTGACTCAGGTGAGGAACACTTTGTGCTGCCACTTGGGGTGGGCATGCCTGGTAGGTGTGGTGACTCACTCTAAGCCTCCCAGAGGCACCATAAGCCTTCCAGATAGGAGGAAATAGATTGCCTAGGCTGACCTTGACACTCCAAGGCCAAAGATCACTGGGGAGCCAGCAGTTTGGACATGGAACAGCTCTTTTCTACAGGCTGAACCTGCTTTCTTCTCTCCCTGTGGGTAGTGGGCCCTACAGTTAGTTCTCAGAATAAAGAAGCCCAGAGAACCTGGGGCCTCTTCCCGACCCTAGTACAGTCATGTTTCCAGAAGGATCTGTGGTACCTTTGCCTTTGCCTCTCTGAGGTGGCTTTGGTTGGCCCTGGCAGGACAGATGAGCACAGTACCCAGCACCTCCCAGGGCAGTGATCCCAAGCAAACAGGAAGGCATGCTGGGCCGGAGTGGCAGGGTTCTGGCTTCAGCTCAGCATCTGTGTGTGCTGGCCTGCGGGTCTTGCTTTGGGCCAGTGCTTGCAGCCCTGGGGGCCCTGCAGCTGCGCTCAGCTCTCCTTTCATCTTCCCGTTTGTTTCTCGGACTCTGTGGCTAGCTTTCCCTGCGGCTTCTGGTGTCTGGCTTCACAGGACCCCTACCCCCAACCCCCAACCCCAGCCCTTCGCCTTTGAAGATCCCCTATGAGTTCCTGCTCCTCCAGATAATCAACAAGGGTTTCAAGGCCAAAACCTGCATTTAAAGCAGGCAAGAAGCTGCGGCTGTGGTCCAGAGGGGACTGATTTGAATGCTTAAGGCCAAGGTGGAACTCTCAACCACAAGTATTTTCTGATTCTTTTTTTTTTTTTTTTTTTTTTTTTGGTCTTTTTAAAAATTTTGTTTGTTTTGTTTTTGAGAAAGGGCCTCTCACTATAGCTCAGGCTACTTATTTAGTATGTAGCCCAGGCTAACCTTGAAAGTGAAAGTGTGTGTGGAATCTTTGAGCAAATTTTTAAAAAATGCATAGCTTTTTCTGGGGGGCACAGTCCCATGCTTAGGATGCCCTACTTAGGGAGCAGAGCGCAGGCAATTCAGCCTTCAGTGCTTTGAGCAACCTGTGTGATCATACAGTGGGCCTGCATTTATTGCTCGTCTCCTCTGTTCCAAACTCTTGTTCTAACACTATAAAGTAAATATTATTAGAATTTCTAATCCACCATGAAAGGACCGAAGGCATCAAAAATTAAGGCTTGTTATCCAGCTCCTACTGACATTCATGTTGAACCCTGCCCCCACAGCTATGATGAGGGTGGCAGGCAGGGGGTGGGAAGTCTGTGGCCGGGTGGCTTCCATATTGACCGACTGAAATGAGGTTGGCAAAGCTGTTTTTTCTTTTTCTTTCTTTCTTTTTTCCTTCCCTTCACAGACATGACTGGGTCTCTGGGGCCCCACCTCCAGGACCTCTTCACAGGTCGTCGGTTCTCCCGGCCAGTGCGCCAGGGCTCTGTGGAGCCCGAGAGCGACTGTTCCCAGACCGTGTCCCCGGATACCCTGTGCTCTAGTCTCTGCAGCCTGGAGGACGGGTTGCTGGGCTCCCCGGCCAGGATGACCTCCCAGCTGTTGGGTGAAGAGCTGCTCCTTGCCAGACTGCCCCCGAGCCGGGAAAGTGCCTTCCGCAGCCTGGGTCCGCTGGAGGCCCAGGACTCACTTTACAATTCACCACTCACGGAATCCTGCCTTTCCCCTGCCGAGGAGGAGCCCGACTCTTGCAAGGACTGCCAGCTGCTCTGCCCACTGCCTGTGGGCAGCTGGGAAAGGCAGCAGCAGGTCTCTGATGTGGCCTCTTCTGGGGTCACATCCTTAGACGAGGATGAGGTGGAGGCTGAGGACCAGTGACTCAGACATGCCCGGTGGCGGCATGCTTCCCCTGGCGGCTGCCTGGGGCAGAGCCTCTGCGGCCAAAAAAAACGTGGGCTCTGGAGCTCCGAGGGCTTCCGGGAGCGCTCACTTCTCCATTGTGTGTTTTGCATGAAAGTGTCTGGAGAGGAGGCAGGGGCCAGGTTTGGGGGCGCATGTACTGCTTCCACTCTTGGGGTTTGCCGGGGCTTGCCCGGGACCCCCTGGGGCATGGCTACAGCTGTGGCAGACAGTGACGTTCATGTTTCTTGAATCCAAAATGCCACATTTCCTCCTGGGACGTGAACCTGAGGGGGGTCGTGTGGCTGGGCTGGGGGTGGGGTGGGGATGGAGGAAGCCTGGCCACCTCCTCCACCCTCCCTTGTGCCCCTTCTCCTCTGCTTCTCTCTTCACCGAGTCCACGTGCTTGACTGAACCACCTGCTCCCGTGGGGCTGGCGCCCGCCCGCCCGCCCGCCCGCCCTCCTGGAGTCGACCGATTGAGCCGCCCGTCCCCGAAGGGTCCCCTTGCCCGGCTGGGCGCTGCTGTGCCCCCCTCTCCACTGTCTCTAAACCTTTTTTTTCCTAAAGACAGGGGGCTTCTGGTCTGTTCTTTGAGCCGATCTTCTCTGGGAGGCACTGGAAGGATGGAAGGGTGTGTCTTCCTCCCCCTTCCCTGCCCCTCCCTCCCCTCCACCCTGGCCCTTTCCCAGCACGGCAGGGTCGGTGTAGGGTGTGGGCGCGGGCGGGCGCGTACAGAGTTCTCAGTAGGGCGGAACTGGGAAAAGGAAGGGCTCTGGTTGTTAGAGCCGAGTGCCACGTTCTTTCAGAGAGGACCACAAGGGGGCCACCTGGGCAGCCGGAAGACTTGTGCCAATGAATGGACAGCCATGAGGGAGTAGCTGTCCTTGGGCAAGCAGGCAGTGCTTTTCTTGGCTGAATGGCAGGCGGTAGCCACAGTGTCAGGGGGCCGTCACAGGCAGGGTGTTGCTGATCGGGCAGTGGGGGCCTCTGGCTTGTCCTATAGTGGGACACTGGGGTCCACAGGTGGCTGTGGACTGAGTCTCATAGGCTTGGGCAGGTAAGAGGATCCAAGGCGAAAACATGAGGCAGGAGCACAAGTGTTCTATACATGAGTGGCCAATTAGGTGTTTACTTTATTCTATTTATTGTTTTATTAAATTAATATAAAAATCTTTGTAAATTTCTATATACATCTTGTCATTGGAGGTTCCAGTATAAACCCATTTTAGTTCTGCCCTTTTCTCAAAAGAGTGGGCAAGGGCCACGTGGCCCTGCCTCATCCTGCCAGGGAGGGCGCTGCTGATCCTCCGGCAGGTCGGTGTTGAGTTACATTCCAGGTAGGCCGGCTGGAGGATGGAGGAGCTGGCAGCCCAGGCAGCCCACAGCTGGAGTGGACGTGGGTTCCAGTGTCCGGTTGCCGCTGCTTGCAGAAGGGAGATAGGCCATCCAGCCAGGGGTTCACTGGCACTTGTCGTCACTATCGGAGGGGCTGCCCTCGCGTGGGAGGCCGTGGCGGGATCTCGGCCCCCAGAGCGCATGCACTTCAGTGGTCTCGGTGTCGCTGCTGCTGGTGGCGCTGTCCCGGAAACTGGCGAGGGGTGGCCTGACTTTCACACCCTGTGCTGTGACAGAGCCCTCGATAGCCTTCCGGAGCTGGAGAGGTAAGAGCGTCAGGCATCTATCTGCTCCCCACTCAGAGCCCTCTGGCACCTCCCCTGGGGGAGCCACGTGGAAGTGGCTTCGGCTCGGCCACCTCACCTCCTTTAGGGTCACAATCCCGATGAGTCTCCCGATGCTGGTGACGTAAGCATGGTCCACTCCCAGCAGTGAGAATATGGTGTGGGTCTGCAGAGCAGGGAGAGGAAACACTGGACTGGACACTGAAAGGGGCAGCTCGGAATCACAGGCAAAGGGGTCCAGGACAAAATGGGGGTGTGTGTGTGGAATAGAATCGTGGGAGGCACTGATGGAGGGAGATGCCACCAGAATGTTCCTGAGTCCCAAAGCCTCGAGGCTGCTTGTATTGTAGCTTCCCCAGCGAGATCAGATGTGACCACCTTCACATTATCAGCACTTTCCATTTGCTGTCTTGAAAACAGCGATCAGCATTTCCCGGAATTTGTTATCTGCTGTTCTGGGTGGGCTCGTGAGCCTCTTGACATAACAGGTGGATCACGATGGGCAGCACCAACAGCTCCCTGAGTACCTCGTGTCTTGTCCTAAATGTTTTCTCATCCTAACTTACGGGAAGGGGCTTGGAGAATGTCCCCCACTTTCTCCGTCTGGAGTATGAACATGCTTATGAAGGATCAAGGCCAGAGTGTCATCCATGCTGGGGAAGTCTACTCACTGAGCTGTAGCTCCAGGACAAGTTCAGTTTTGTTTCTTTTGGAAGGTCTCACTACTTAGCCCAGGCTGGCCTTGAACTCATAGTCTGCTCCTGCCCCGGCCTCCTAAGTATTGGATTATAGGTGTGTGCTACCACACCCATCTTAGAAATTCAGTTTTCTGGTGGTGCACGCCTTTAATCCCAGCACTCAGGAGGCAGATCTCCTAGTTCAAGGCCAGCCTGGTCTATAGAGCCAGTTCCAGGACAGCCAGGGCTGCACAGAGAAATGCTGTCTTGAAAAACCAAAAAAAGAAAAAAAAAAGCAACTCATTTTTTTAAGAAGTCATGTTTCTTCAAAGCCTACAGTTTTCATGCAGTTAGCAATCTCGTTATATAACTTAAACCCTGCATGCTACAGATTAGCCTTAATTTAGCCTTAACAGGATCCTTGGGAGACGGTCTGTTCCTATACGGTATGTTACTGTAATCTCTTAGCCTGTGGTCATATGATCCATCTCACCTTCTCCAAGGGCCCTGTTAAACAGTTCCCTTATACCTTCATCCGCAGCCACAGCGACCTAGCAGCCAATGTGCTTTTGTAGGTCTGTGGACGATGTGTGCCTGGCAGCCGCCAGGCTGACTGCTCTACTTCTGGGGCATCTGTGCCATCCTCCCCAGTTCAGCCTCACGGTCCTCACCAGGGCCGAGACAGCAGCAGAATGTGCTTCCCTGCTTCCTGCCTCCCCGCTCTCCAGCTGGGATCTGCCATTCTATGGCTTTCTAAAACTTGAGCGGCACCCAGGACCCCCTAGAATGGCCCACGCCAGCCTGCCCTTCTTCTGTGCCTTGTTTCCAGGCTTTACAGGTCTTGATTTTTTTGTTTTTCAAGACAGGGTTTCTCTGTGTAACAGCTCTGGCTGTCCAGCAACTCACCCCATAGACCAGGCTGGCCTCGAACTCACAGAGATCGGCCTGCCTCTGCCTCCCGAGTGCTAGGGTTAATGGCGTGCGCCACCACTGCCTGGCCAACTTTTCTTTTTTGAAGTAAGGTCTCACATATCTCAGGATGACTGAACTTGCTGTGTAGTAGTTCCCAGATGACTATCTGACCCTCCACCTCCTGAGTGCCAGCATACACCACCATACTCAGTTTATGCCACCTCTACTTTATAGATAAGGAAACCCAGACAGGCGAAGCAACTTGCTTAACTTCTACAGCCAAGCTTGTGAGCAGCAGGGAGAGGACTTGGCTTCGCTGGTCTTGCCGTCATCCTGGCACTCCGGCTTCCTCTCTGTCCACTGGAGCTAGCTGCCACCGAGAGGTTCCTAAAGCGTCTCATGGGTTCTCACCCTCCGAAAGTACCCCTCTGGCACCTAAGTGGGTTACTGCTTTACCGCTCTCTTAATACGTGGATTCTAATTTAGACTCGAATCTCTAGAATTCTAATCTTTTATGTTATCATTCCAGCTCTTTGTACTTTTGTTAGCGGTTCCTCAGCGGCTTCTTTCCTTCCTGTGACAGTTTAAGTTTGTAACAAACACCTACTTTGTTCTTTTTCATTTTAATTTAATTGGACACCAGGGAGCCCTTTGGAGGGCCCGAATTTCTTAGGCCTGGGAACAGTGAATTGAACCGACAGGGAAAAGGACAGCGTGGCCTTCTGAAAGAATTCTGAGAGCAGGCCAGATCTGTGCCCTGGCCTGACTCTGCGAAACCCATGCAGGCAGATGATTTTTCTCACCGAATGACTCAGTTAAGACAGGACTTTGGGTTAGACTGTCTTTGGGTGTGTGACCCGTTGGCTAGCGTGGTGGTGAGAATTCAGTTACATTCATGAAGATCTTAGCATGGTACCCAGCACACAGCAAGCACTCAAAGCACGCCAGTGTTCTTATCATCAAAATCATGGATGACAGAATCAAGGGCGTCACAGCTGGGTATGATGGCATGTGCCTGAAATCTCCAGAGAGACCAAGGGTCATGAGTTCGAGGCCTACTTGGGCTATGTGAGATCCTGTCTCAAAAAAGGAAAAAGATGGCTGATGCCTGGGGAAGAAAGGCTTTAGAGTGCAGCTTGTAGTACCGTCTGGCCATCTCCCCTTCCTTCACCATAGTACTGCAGTCCCCCATCTTGATCTCAGGTCTTTATCTAAAAGGGTCTAAGTTCCTTTATTTTTGCTGTGTTGTTTTTCTTTTGTCTCCTACCCTTCCCATCATGGGCTCTGCTTGTACGTGCTGTGCTGACTTTTTAGCAACAGTCTGTAGCTAAGCTAGCCACCCAAGCCCAAGTCTGGGGACCACTGACCTTTACCTGTCACTTTGGCCTGCACCTGCCCATGGAGGCTGTGATTAAAATACCGCTTGGCTTTGGCTGGGAAGCCTGTATTCCCTGCCTTTACGGGGCAGCTGTCAGTGCCCAGTGGTGCCAGCTACCCCGCTCTAAGCCCCGCCTTCGTGTGTACGCCGCCGCCGTTCACCTCCATCAATCTGTTCTCGTTCCTCTTGCTCCGGGTGCTCTGCGGAGCAGCCTTTCTGATCTCCTCCACCAGCTTTCCTTGGCCATGCCTGAAGCCAGACTCTCTGGGGTCCGACATTCCAAGCCCCCTACCGGTGTCTCTCATCTTTGTTTATCTCTTCCCTGCAGTCGCCTCACCCTTCTCGACTGTTTGTGAGCCTGTTTATTGGATTTTCTTATCTGGCCTGTTTCTCACCCCCCCCCCCTTTTTTTTTTCCAGCGTGGGTGTGTGTCAGCCTTGTTGGGTTCTGGCAACCTCCTGCCTAGCTCTGACCCTGGCCTGGCCTCCTGGCTCCCACCCAGTTCAAGCTGTGTCTTTGTTGCTGCTTTGGTCCAGCATTCCCTGGGGTGAGTCTGAGCAGAGGAAAATCGATGCCTGGCTCCACCAAGGAGGAGGACAGGGCTAAGGAGTCCTGTTTTAAGAACAGCATCAAGTATACTGCCTCTCTCTCTCTCGTGCCTTCCTCACATACTAGCACACTGGTCCGGGTCCAGACCTATCCTGCCCTACCTTGTGCAGAGAGGTCCGCTCCACTAGCTGGAAGGGCGCAGGGTCGATTTTGCAGTCACTGAAGTTGACAGGCTCGTCTAGCTGCTGCTCTTCCCACTCTAAGATCTGAGAGGAAGAGACTGGCGATCAGGGAGAGGGAGCCTGGAGCTCCTCTCTCCGAAGGCCGCTTGCCCCTTTCCCTCCCTGTGATCCTTTAGCCAAGACGACAAC